CGGCTCTCAATTTATTTCTGAATAATTAATTCAATTTAAATGAATATTAGTTCAACATCTTAACACTCGGAACTATAAAAGCGCTTCGTATTTAAAGTTTGAATATTTAAACAAGTTCCATTTTCCAATCAAATTATTTTATCGTTTATGTAAATTTATAAATGCCAGAGTTGTATAATAATAATAAATAACAATAAAGAAAAAGATTTACTTTTGAAATTTAAAGATTTTAGCTGCAATATGTTGACCTGGATTACTACCTGTTGTTACAAATGCATTTCCTTTTCGCATTTTCTTTTCCTTGGGGACCTTCTTTTGAAAATAAAATAAAACTGATACCTGAGAATTCCTTTTTATTATGTTAAGAAAGTACAAAAGCTTCAAATCTAGATATGCATGATTTCGAAAAACGATAATTATACCTAGCAAAAAATATGAAAGTCATTAATCATTTCTTTTTCATCGTTCTGCAAAGAAAAATATTGAATCAAGGTCTTTCAAAACTTAATTACTTTACTAGGACATTCACATTTTATGACAAAATGAAGAAAGGTACAAAAACTTCTTAAAGTATTCATTTTTTGTTGACTTAGGGTTAATACTTTTATTTGCTAGAAAACGGACAACTGATTTATGAAGTGAGTATGGTAACAAAAACGAGAGATGTACATTCTTGCCTACCCTCTTCCATCTAAAGAATCCGGCAGGGACGACATGTGAAAGGCCATAAAGTTCTAAAGCTATAAAACACGAAACAAAGCACAAAAGGAAAAAAGATTCCATTGCTATCTCTAACAGTTTTCAAAATAATAAACGGCTTGTAAAACTTTTTAATTTTCTACTATGTGTGCACGTATTAATAAAACACTATAAACTTTGCAACATTTATTATAAGCCATATAACTTTAAAACAATCATGTAACGGTTATATATTAAAACTATAAATTGCACATCGTAATTTTGTACTAAAAGTCGCTTTGATCTTTCAAGCGATATACAGCCAGACATTCATTTGAAACTTAATATTGTAGTTCCTGGAATAATTAAGGATTTAAATTTTTTTAATGTTCCAAGCATTCCGAAGATAGCGATAACAGAATCTAATCTATGAACTAAATTACATGGAAAAGACTGATTAGATAACGTTATTGTAGCATAATTACTTATTTGCTCAAATAATGACCAAATAAGTAATTATGTTACAATCATGTTAACATAAGACATAGGATATTCTAATAACGTACGACAATTAAATATCTTTAGATTACAGCAATTCTTTCATTAATTACATATGTAACTAATTTAATCTATCGTACATTATAGATATTTAAAAATAATGAACAAAAGTACGTGCTACGAAATAAGGCCAATAATTAACGTAATTATGCTTAATTAATTAATACATAAAGTGCTGAAATTTATAAAATTTATTTTCAAAAAAAAATACGTCAGAAAAAATCTGTAAAATTTTGTAACAAAATATATATATATATATATAT